AAGAATGAAAAAGTCTGGTGTGAAATTAAGAAAGAAAAGCTTCTATCACTAGATGTTTCTTAGAGATACGAGGATGAATTTTAAATGCGTGTTAATATTTGAGCTTTATCATAAAGATGTCCAAGTCTGATCTGGTTTGACCTACTTCTCAGAGGGATGGGAGAGTTACATACACAGACAGACACTTGCAGACTTACAAACATGGAGGGTCATAAGCTCATACCCAGACTTCCCTGACAGCAACTGCAGTGCTTTAAAAAAAAAAAATAGTCTGAGGAACTCAATTTTCATATTGGTTACAGTTGTGTCGGGTTTTACAGAATCAAGTTATGTGGATCAGATTTCAGCCTGGCCAATTGACCCAGAGGGAAGAGAGGGAGAAGGTTGGGGGTTTCCACATACAAGTCCTGTGGTCTACCCCATAGCCAAACCTGACCGTTTGATTCTAGTAGACCCACGCTCCAGACACCAATTAGAAATGGTACACGTTTGCTTACATGTTTCTTGTCTATAGAGCACCTCAGAGGCCAAAGAGGGACTGCTTGGGGTTGGCTTATGGGCCAAGGGGTCTCAAAGACTCTGGTTTGTTTCCATTTAATTTTGTTTTGGTTTTTGATCATATTCAGCACTGCACAAACCTTATTCCTGGCTCTGTGCTCAGGAATCACTCCTGGCAGGGATCGGGAAACCCCGTGGGGTATGGGGGATCCAGACCAGGTGGGCCACTTGCCAAGCAAGAGCCTTGCCTTCTGTATTGCCTCTCTGCTGATTGAAAAAAGAAAGCTTCAGTCCACTTGATTCACATACTAACGTGACCTCAAGAAACCTTAATGCAGAGGAATGAGAGTTTAGGCTTCCCTGTCTCTCGAAGTGCTCCTGTCATGTGAGGCGGTCACAGCACAGCAGCTACAGGGTCTGAGGAAAGTCACACCAGATGAGGTGGCACTCAGAGGCATTATGTACAGGTGTGTCTGCAAATACCTGGACCTTCCCTGTACCCTTGGTGACTTCTCAAAGGACATAGTCTGTCCCGCAGAACCAACTGTCTTACTTTACCTCAGCTGGGAATTTAAGGGCCAGGTCTGCTGGTGATAAGTAATGAGTAATAAATAAGTCAGAATGTAATCGGGATCCTGATGTCTGTTCGAAACAAGTCTTCCGAGGAACAAGCTTCGAGAGGCAGGGTTGAGGCCTGAGGTCAGCAATTCCCACTTTATTGCACAGACAAGTCACGCTTAGACTCAAACTGCCTTTGAGAGATGGGAGGGTGCAGCCACGGAGGGAATCATTCAAGGAGGAAAACGGCTGCACCTGGCCACACTTGGTTTTGAGGGGGAGACGGGTCTCCCCTGCACCCCTGACGCTAAGGTCTTGTTTTCAGGGCAGTCTTGGCTTCCAGCATGGAAACCATCATGGTTTAGGGTAAAGGTCCCAGCCTGGCATTGTACCAATGGGAAGGTTCAAGCAGAGCACAAGAGGCAAAACCACGCCTCACACGAGCAGACGTCGGAGCATGCAGAAGCCACCGGCAGCACACAGAGAACAGAGCCACAAGACAGACAAGGCCTGTCTGGCCTGGGGCACAGAGTGAGGCCTGTTCCACCTTGACCTGGTCAGCCGCCTGCCTGCTGCTCCTCTACACCAAGAGCCTGAAGGAGACTTGCCATGCAAACCACCCTGTGGCCAGTTGCTGCCTCAACCAGCCCCGTCCTGCACCCTGAGGTACGGGAACATGTCAGGTTTGCTCACTAGCCACTGATGGGAACCATGGGCACAAAGCTGACATCCTGAATTAAAGTATAAAAAGAAAAGGCTTGACAGAGGGGCAGGACCTCAACCATTCAATCAACCCAGTAAAATTAAAATAGCACAAACTGTCTTAACAGAGTTGTTCAGGAAAATACAGAAACTTACACACTCAGTTTATAAAAAGCCAAAACTAAGAATAACATGATGTAGAGGAAGTTTTTCAGATGGATTCTCAGTGTTTTTATAAATAGTCCACTTTTCTGTCTTCTTCCTATTAAAAAAAAAGTTAAAGAGGTTTGTTAGTCCTGACTTAAATGTCAAATAAGAAAGAAATACATCAGAATACATTGAATGTAACTGCTTAGCTAATTTGGGCTGGAGTGATAGCACAGTGGGTAGGGCATTTGCCTTGCACGAGGCCAACCCGGGTTTGATTCCTCCGCCCCTCTTGGAGAGCCTGGCAAGCTACCGAGAGTATCCTGCCCGCATGGCAAAGCCTGGCAAGCTCCCCATGATGTATTCGATATGCCAAACACAGTAACAACAAGTCTCACAATGGAGACGTTACTGGTGCCCTCTGGAGCGAATCGATGAACAACGGGACGACAGTGCTACAGTGCTACAGTGCTTAGCTCATTTAAACATTAAAATGATGAAGTTCACATTGTAAAATATATGTGACAAAAGTCTTTTAGAACCTTCTACGCACTCTATAACACCCAGGCAGTGCCCAGAGTGGAGTATCTCTTTGAGATTTGATTAAATTCAATCTACTCTTCCAAATAGGTTTGAGTTAAATGTTTGGTTTCATCGACACCATCCACAAATGATGTTTCTCTAATCTCATGCAGCATCACAATACTGAGAGACAATGAAACACTTAGAATTCGCCCTGAGTCAATGAACTGTGTCATGAGAAAACTCTGCCGAGGACCCACCAATATGCTCAGGTTCTCCTGGCAATTAGCTCTTCCCTTCCGCCCTCTATGAAGTTCTGACAACTATTAGAACTTTTCCCATTGACATGTCTTTAACATCGGGAGGCGGGTGTTGATATCTGAGCACAATATTAGAAAGGCAGAGACAGAGTAGCTGATGGGGGTAGGGCACTCTGGGCGTGTGGACATGTCACTCCCCACCGCTGAATGGGGGAGGAATCAGTCAGTGCATTTTGGGCAGACATTGTCCTTACAAACAGAGAGGCACAGCGGGCCAGGGGCCCCTTCCTGCAACCTCCTCTGGGCTGCCCTGTGCAGGCAGGCTGGCAGCTCTGTCTGTGGGGTCTGCTCCCTCCCGAGCCTCAGCTTTCTTCTCTGCAAATGCTCTCTGGACCAAATAACGTCCCTGACTCCTTTGTAGAGTCAGGCACAGGCCTTTCCTCCAGAAAAGTCTGCGGTTGCTTTCAGAGATCATGGTCCAGAGTGTGCACCTCAGTCCTGAGCAGGGGTGACAGGGGATGTGCCCCAAATACCATGTGTTTTAAAAATAGCTTTCCATGCCAGGAAAGGGCGGCACTCTTCTTTTGCGTGTGCTTGGCCTTTTCCTTGGAAAGTGGCCGCGAGCTTTCAGCCGTTGCATTTCGAGGGATCCTGACTGCGGTGGACAGCCAGAGCTGGCCTGTGGCTGTGCAGCACTCCTGGTCCCTGCCCGGCCTGAGATCCCGAGGGCAGTCATCTCTCATCTCAAAGCAAAGATTTTAGTGAGGGAAAAGCGTTTTTGTTTTAACCACTGTCCCAACCTTGACTACTGAAAGCTCTGACTTGATTATGTTTACTGGGGCTCCCGGTCCCTGCAGGCAGGCTGGGGTCAGGAGCAGAGCTGAGAGCGGCTCACCCTGTGGCGTCCCGCACCAGCAGGCAGATTAGCTGCTCCGAACAGCCCCAGTAAACACGCCGCCTGTCCAGACGCTGAAGTAAGTGTCTGTCTACAAGCAACTCCCTTTCTTCTGAAAAACCAGTCCTCCAATTCAGAGTGACTTCTTACAAGTGGGGAGTTTTTCTCTACTCGCCGCATGCAACCAAAGCACATTAATTATCCTTAGTCCTCCCATGGAGCCTGGGACAGTTTTGGACAGAAAGAATTAAAATTCTCTGTCCTTCTTAATTTTAGGGGGAAGCTCTAGAACTCTCTTTTCTTCTATCTCCTTTTCTCTCTTTTTGAGCAGTAACAGAAAGGCTGTGTCCCTAGCAGCATGCTGTCATTATCTGAAACTCCAGTGCCGTGGCAGCCCTGGAGTGTCCTGGGTACAGGGACATAGCTGGGATGGGGCAAGGAGCTCCGCCCTGAGGGTCCTGCCGTCTGACTGAGTGGCCTCACTGCTCTGCCATCTTAGGGAGGGGACACAGCACATCTCTTGCAGCAGAGATAGGGCTTATCTCTCTCCCCTTGGCTCAGGCTAATCTTTGCCAAGTAAAGTCCTGGGAGTCTCCCAGCCTTACCTCCCCGCAGTGCCGAGCCCCTGTGAACCCTCAAGGCTATCGTGTGGGCCAGAGCTGGTGGGGACGAGCTGCCCCCATGGCCCAGCTGACCCCACAGGCATTCAGGGAGGCCCAGGACTTGAGAAGCCCCTCAGCTCTCCTCAGGGGTGACCCAAAGTGTGTCTCCCAAAGTCAGGGAGTATGGGTACGGAAGCAGGGCTGGCCACCTGGGCAGTGCAGACTGGCCAATGCTGAAAGCCGGGCCCATTCTGAGCAGGGGAGACCGCAGCAGGGACCCCCACCCCACCCCACCACATGTGTGGGCCGCGTGCCTGGGAGCTGCACGCGTGAGTGCATGCCTTGGTGTGTTGTGTGTGCTTGGGGTCTAGAGGGAAAGTGGCATGTGTGCACCCGTGTGCAGGTAAGAATGCACACGCACACATGTGTCTGTGTGAGCGAGTGTGAGATACCATGGACTGGAGGGCTAATCAGACCTTGAGGAACTGGAAATAGGCAAACCGGGCTATAGAGGAAATTTCAAGAGGAGTCTCTGCAGAAAGCCTCTGAGCAGGACAGACTCTCTGAGGGCAAACGTGGCCTGCCCCGTCCTCGTCTCTGGGGACCAGCCCGGGGTCTGCGGGGACAGCAGGAAGCTGCCCCTGACATCTGCTGCTTCAGCCTCCAGGACAGGCCTGCACCACCCACAGCCGAGCAGGTCGGGGGCCAGAAGGTGTCAGCGACAGAGCGGGTCTCTGCCGTGGGGCGCCCTCCTGCTCTGCACCCGCCACCCAGAGCCCACGCGAGCCCGGGTGGGCACTCACCTGGCGATGAGGCTCATCGGTGCTCCACCACGAAGCTCATGGTGGTGCCGTCGAAGGAGGGGGGCGCGACGATCCGCGGCCCCAGCGGCTGCGAGGTGATGCTGATGACAGGCTCGGCCTGCCCGGGGCTGAAGCCCCCCGCGCCCAGGAGCTGGGCAGTGGCCGGGGCCGGAGAGGGCGGCGAGGCGGGGGCCGGGCCAGAGCCCAGGAAGTAGGTGGTCTCCTTGCCCGGGGACTCCCCGGGCGCAGCGCTGCGTGGTGCCTGCTGGAGCGGGGCCGGGGGCAGCACGGTGGGTAGGAAGCCGGGGTAGATCATGTAGGTGGGGGCGTAGGCCCCGGGGCTCAGGGCCACGGGCAGGGACACGGGCGCCACGGCCGGCTGCTGGGCGGTCACGGGCACATCCACATACTGCCCGGTCTCGGGGTCGAACAGTCTGCGGGTGGCTGGCTGCAGCGGCGTGTCCACCAGGTAGTACTGGCCGGTGGTCACGTCCAGGAGCACCTTGCGCTGTGTCTGTGGGGCCCGCGGCGGCGCGAAGGGGTCAGTCGGGGCCGGGGCTGGCAGGCCGGGCGGGGAGAAGCAAAGCACAGGGGGCTGGGCAAGGGGCGCGCCCGGGAAGGCGCCCGCAGGGGGCTGCTCGGGGGCCGCCTTCTCCCGGGCCGGCTTGCTGCGCCATGCCGGCCTGCTGGCCGTGTCCTGCGAGCCCCGGGGCGCGGCGGGCACCTGAGTACGGGCGCTGAGCGGGGGCAGGCTGCAGAGTGTGGCAGCCGAGGACGTCGGGGGGTTGTCCCTGCGCTTCGGGGGGATGACCAGGCAGCTCTCGCAGTCGCCCTTGCGGCCGGGCAGCCCCTCGGAGGGACCCCTGGCCGCCGGGGGGGAGGCCTTGAGGGGCCGCGGGGCGCCCGGCGGAGTGGCCGGGCCGTCGGGGGGTGAGCCCTGGGGGAACTTGCCGGCCACGGCGCCTCTCCTCGGAGGGTCCTGGGGTGCGGGGGCCAGGCAGAGCGAGCGCGGGCGCTCCCGGGCCTGGCCCTCAGCGGCCCGCGGGGACGCGCCGTCGGGGCCTGGGTTGGAGTTCCGGCGCCTCAGTGCCTCGGCCGGGCCGGACCCGGCCTGCTCCTCGCGGGCAATGAGGGAGAGCACGTGGCTGCCGGCCAGCGCGGGCAGCGGGTCGCTGCGGCGCTTCCAGGCGTGGCGAGGGAGGCCGCAGAGCTCGTCCATGGAGCGCACGGCTGCCGTCAGCCGCTGCAGCGCGCCGCGCCCCTCACCGCGCCCCTCGCCGCGTCCCTCGCCGCGCGCCCCGCCGGGCGCCGTGGACACGATGCGCAGCACGGGCAGGAAGGGGCCCTGCTCGGCCTTGTTGGGCGCGATGGTGGCCACGGGCAGGCGGCCGGACGCGCGGTGCACCAGCACGGTGCCCTCAGGGGAGCCCGCGCGCGCCCCGCGGTCCGCGTCCTCCCGCCGGCCCGCGGGGGGCGGGCCGGTGGCCACTACGGGCGACGGCGGCCCGGGGCGCGGCCGGGGGCTGGGGCCCTGCTCGGGGGTCCCGCCGGCCTTGTCGCCGTCCGCTGGCCCCTTGAGCAGCTTCCTGACGTCGCGCACGGGGTGCAGCGGGCCCTGCGCCCTGCCCCGGTCGCGCACGTCGCGCACCTGGAACTGCGGCACCTTGTCGGGGCCGTCGGCGCGCGGCCTCGGGGGCGCCCGGGCCGCCTCCGCGCCCGCCAGCCGCGGCGTCAGCAGCTGCGCGATGCTGAAGTCCGCGCCTGCCGGCTGCTGGACGCTGCCCAGGCGGATCTTGATTTCGGGGGCCTTGGGCCTGACCACGGCCGTGGAGGTGGCCGGCTGACCCGGCCGCGCGTCCCGGGGCGTCTGCTGGATGTGCGGCACGAAGAGGCGTGACCTGAGGGTGGGCTTTGCCGCGGGGGGCTCCCCGGGGCCGGGCCCTGCGGGGGCCTTGGACGTGCCCCCGGGGGCCGGTTCCGGGCCGCGCTCGGCCTCCTGGTCCCGCCAGGCCCGGAAGGCGCTGTGCTGGCTGCGGGCCAGCGCGCCCCTGGCCGCGTCCGCCGCGGCCCTCGCACCCTCGCCGCCGTCCTCCGCGGGGCCCGGGGCGCTCTCCCTGGGCGCGCTGGCCCTGAACCCGGGGGACCTGGCGCCTGCTGCGCCGTCCGCCTCCGCCGCGCCGCCCGCCGTGCCCTCCGAGCCTGTCTCCGAGTGCCGGGAGCTCTGCCGCTGCAGGGCCGCGGGGGGCGCCTCCCGCGGACCGGGGTCGCCGGCCTCCCCGCGCTCCATGCGGAACTCATGCTCGCGCTGCATCTTTTTGGAGATGACGTTCTGGAGCAGGCTGGACGCGAACCGCGACTTCTTCTGGGGCGCGGGCTGGCCGCTCTCGCTGGCCGCCGAGCTGGCCTTGCTGTCGCTGCGCTCCCGCGGGCCGGGCTGCGCCTGAGTGCGGCGCGGGGTGTCCACATGCTTGATCTCTCCGTCCACCTTGCTGACCACGAACTCCAGCGCCCTGCTCTGCGCCCTCCTGGCCTGGGCCTGCAGCTGCTCGGCGCCCGGCCCGGCCCCGCCGCCCTTGCGCAGGCCCGCGGCCACCGAAGCCGCGCTGCCCCTCCGCAGGCTCTGCTCCACCCGGGCGCCCACGGCCGCGCACTTGAGGTCCAGCAGCGTGGACCAGCGCCCGAGGCCCCCGTCGGACAGTGCGGACAGCGTGGACTCCCGCGAGCTGACGTGCAGGGCCTCGAAGCAGGGGTAGGCCAGGCTGCGGAAGGCGCGGCTGGTCAGGCTGCGCACCTCCTGGTCGGCATCGTCCAGCTCGCTCAGGCCGCTGGACGCCCCCCCGGAGCGGTCGGCGAGTTCCCAGGCGCGCAGGGCCCCGCCGCGGCCGCGCTCGGCGGCCAGCCGGAGGCTCATGTCGCCTGCATGCTGGCCGGCGCCTCGGGGCAGCTGCAGGGCTGGCCCCGCGCTAGGCTCATTTATAGCCCCGGCCTGCGTGATTGATAGGAGGATCTGGCGCCCGCAGCTGCGCGAGCCCGGCCCTGGGGCTGCCCGCGGGGGCTCGGGCCAGGCCTGGCGTGGCTGGCCGGGGGCCTCCGCCTCGGTGCTGTGCCCGCTGCTGGGGGCGCTGGGCGAGCGGGCGGGGTTGCTGCTGGGCGTGGTGCTGACGTAGCAGCTGCCCTCCTCGTCCTCCTCGGTTGGGGTGGTCGCGTCCCCCGTGGTCTCGTCGCTGCCCCCAAAGGACGCGTAGTCCACGAGTGAGTAGATGACGTTATTGTCCTCAAAGTCCCAGCGGGAGGCCAGCCCCACGTCGAAGTCCGTGTCCTGCTCCACCTCGCTCAGCTGGATCTCATGGGTGGTGATGTAGTGGGCACCCTCGGGGCCGGCCCTCAGCGGGTCCCGGCGGGCCTGGGCCTTGGTGAGCAGGTCCGGGAGCTTGGGGCCCTGCTCGCCGTCTCCAAGAGTCTGGCAGCCTGCCACACCGTCCCCACCATCCCCGCCGTCGGTCTCAAAGCCCAAGGAGGAGGATGAGGTGCCCAGAGCGGCTGTGGCTGCAGCCGCCTCGCCGGTGCCGGGAAGGTCGTCCCTGCTGGCCCCTGGGGAGGACGATGAGCAGGAGGAGCAGGAGACACTGCGCGGTGGCCGGCCAGGCTTGTCCCCAGCGTCCTCCTGGGGGAGCTCCATGCCCCGGGGGCCCGCCCGGGCAGCAGCACACAGCTCCATGCTCTCGGCCTCTGCCTGGGACGCTGCGGGCAGCTCCGGAAGCAGCTGTGGTCCCGGCTCCTGGCTCTCCGCCCCCCCGACTGGTGAGTGCCGCCCGGGGACAGCAGCTGCCACCAGAACCCCGCGTCCGGGCTCCAGCTGCAGCAGGAGCCGGAGGTGAGTGTGGGCGCTGCACTGTGACCCCTCCTGGCTGGGCAGGGCCCGCAGAGTCGCCTGGAGCAGGGCCCCACGTGCCCCGGCCAGCCCCCGGGCTGCCCCCCGCACCTCCCAGCAGCTCAGCCTCGGGCCCGGGGCCAGCTGCCAGCGGGAGCAGGTGAGGCCCAGGGGGCTGGCGTGGGAGGCGGGAGGCTGGGGGGCCGCGGCTCGGGTCGGGAGCGTGGCCAAGCTTCCGGGGCCGTCTGGGCAGTGGTGGTCCGTGGCCACAGCAAGAGAAGCATCTGGAGAGCAGAGGGAGAGCATGTGGGGGTCCCGGGGAGGCTGCGTCCTTCCTGTGGGGTGGGGGGGAGGGTGGACACGTCATTCCAGAAATACTCCTCGTGCCGGCTCCCTGTTATGCTGAAGCGGGCCGGGGGAGGCGAGAAGCAGGGGAGAGCCGGGGGTGGGGGACAGGTGGGTGCTAATCCAGACCACGTGGTACCGGCGCCCCCTGGTACAGGATGCGGGTACCCCCACCCCCGCCTTCCTCTCCGGGTCTCAGCCGCGGTTCTCCCTGGTTTTTGGGCACCGTCCGGCCCGGTTGTGCTTTTCACAGCATGAGAAACGTGCCAGAAAGGTCTCCTAAGCGCCCGGGAACACACCAGAGCTTCGCCGCCATTCCCCTGGCCCCCGAGCTGCTCTCCTGGGACCCAAATTCGTGGTTTAAAAATGGAATAACCCTCCCCAGAGTGCTTCCAAGTGTGAGAGGGCAGTTCCCGGGCTCAGAGACGTGGCCTGCCCAGTGGGCTCACTAAGGAGGGGCACGGGAGGCCAGAGAGGCCTGCCCATGCCCCGACAGACCCCCAGGGCAAGCAAAAGCCATGAGGACAACACTGGTACACTGGGCCGCCGGCCATGGCAGACAGTGACCCTCCGAGTAAATATAGTCCGAATTTCACTGACTGGATTCCAACCAGGCCTACAGGCAGCCGAGAGGGCAGGGACGCGCTGGTCCCTCCCGCGGGTGCCCCTGGGGGTCACTAACTGGGACCCTTCATGCATTTGCCAGCTCGCTGTGGTCACTGGAGCCGTGGCTCAGGCTGGGTGCTCTGGCCTGGCCACACTGGCCACTGCCACCTAGCATGGTCGGTCCATCAGCCAGGCTGCCAAAGGAAGCATGACTTTAGACAGCCACATTAGTAGGGATCAAAAATAACCGGCACCAGCCTGCTCCCGCCAACGGCACACACGGGAATGGTCCTTCCTCTGGGTGGGTGCAGGGGGCCTCCAGCCCTAGCCCTGCCACCGCTCCCTGGCTTGAGGCTGGCAGGAATAGCTCAGCGAGCAGCAGATCGGGCGGTGCCCTGTGGGACCCTGGGGGGTGGGGGGCGACGCGTCTGGTCTCAGGCCTCAGGAGCCTGGCGCATTCATACAAAGGGGCGAGGCCCCAAGCAACCAGGAACAGATGTCCAGCCCCGCAGCTCCTGACCCACAGCCTCGCGGATCCTGAGCTCTTCCCGAGCACAGTGGCCGCAGGGGGAGTCCAGTGCCCACGTGGCGAGGCCTGGGCCCAGACTGCAGGGCTGATCTCGCTCTCCCTGAAATGAGCCTCATGCCAAGACGGGGTGAGAGGGACAAGTCCTGTGCACACAAGGGCGGTTCTGACCTGTGGGAGGAACTGAGGCTGTGCTGCAGGACTGAGTGCCCACCCAGGGGGACCTCCTTTCCTGCAAGCTACCCGACTCGAGGCACCTTCTTTCCCACCCGCTGCCTGTGTTCGTCTGTCACGACGGACAGACAGGCTTTGAGTTTCTCCTGCGGCCGGCCAGGGACAGGGCAGACTGAGCTCGGGTGCGGGGAAGGCTAGGCTGTGACTGGCTGTGCTGTAGGGCCTGCAGCACCTCACTCCTCCCCCCCCCCCAGCTCCCCCAAGCCGAGGTCACCCCAAGGGCACTTACCTCCAGGGAGCCTCCTGGCTCGGTTTCTTTCTAGATGAACGTCAGTGCAGGAGAAATAAAGGGAAGTATATTTTTAAAGTATGGTCTCCAAAAAGTGAGCCTTTTAATTCAGACTGTGTATTCTCTGTAAAAATCACGAGCCGGGGTGATAATTCGCAGGCAGGGTGTTTGCCTTACACACGGCTGACCCGGGTTCAATCCCCAGCATCCCATATGGTCCCCTGAGCTCTGCCAGGGGTATTTCCTAAGCAGAGTCAGGAGTCAATCCTGAACGCTGCCAGATGCAAAACCAAAATAAATGAAAATAAAACAAGTCAAGAAACTCTATTTTGTTTTGAAAAATAGATAAATGAAATAAGGATAAGTTTCAGGGGGCGTGCTAAGGCCCAGCTTGACTGTCCCCCTGGCCTTCCAGGTTCCAGTCCATCCACGTCACTAACGAAAATGGTCCCTTTCTTCTGGGCTCACTTGCTGTCATCTGATAGCCCCGTGGGGCCTTTTATGGCTTCTCTGAGGGTCATTCCTCACACAGGTGAGTGCAGAGATTGCCTCTCTGACCTCAGCTCTTGGGCAAGAGCCTGTGAGTCAGGCCCCACTTTCCCCAAGTGAGCCGGCCGGCAGGAAGGTGGGTCCGTGGGTCACTTTATATGGAAATTCACAGGGCACCCAGGGGCTGACTCAGTGCCATTATTTTTGTCTCTGAGAGGGAATCTGTTAACATTCCCTCAAGGTCCTGTGAGATGCATCAGAGCTTGTAAAAATTTACTATGATTAAATAAATCAGGCATCACAAGTGTGAGGGGGACAGAGGGTAGTTAGACTAGAGAAGGGAGCAGTATGACAATAATAGTTGGAAGAGTTGAAAATGATCACTTTGGGCAGGAGCTGAGTGCTGCAAGTAGGTGAAGGGATATACCTGATAACCTTTTAGTGTCTGTATTGCAAACCACAATCCCCAAAACAGGAGAGAGGGGGAAGGAGAGAGAGACAGAGACAGAAAGAGGGAGGGGGGAGAGGGAGACAGAGACAGAGGGGAGGAAGAGAGAGAGAGGGAGGGGGGAGAGAGAGAGAGAGAGAGAGAGAGAGAAAGAGAGAGAGAGAGAGAGAGAGAGAGAGAGAGAGGAAGGGAGAGAGAGCAGAGAGGGAGAGGCAGAAAGACAGAGAGAAACAGACGGGGGTGGGGGTGGGGCAGGAATGCCTGCCATAGAGGTGGAGGAAGGGTGGCAGGGAACCTGGGGACATTGGTGGTGGGAAACGTGTGCTGGTAGAAAGACGGGTGTTGGAACATTGTGTGACTGAAACCTGATCATGAGCAGCTTGTAACTGCATCTCACTGTGATTCCATTTAACAAGAACAAAATTTTAAAAATCAATAAACCAGGCCTGGAGCTAGCTTCCCCGTTTCAGGACCGTCTGTGCGGCCACTGCAGGTGGCATCCCTCGGACTGGGCAGGTGCTCTCGGGCCTCTCTGCCAGGCCTGGAAGGTTTTCTGGGCCTTGCACGACTGCCCTGCTCACACACTGCCTTTCAAGAAGCTCTTCAGGGCCAGGCTGGACCCGAGTGGCCGGGCGTCCTGGCAGCCAAAGACAGAGAGCCTGCATAGTCGGTTGGTGACCGGTCAGTGTCCCCCACACTCCGGGCACTCGGCCCACTTGGGAGGTGGAGGAGAGAGGGACTTTGGTTCCAGGTCTTGGTCACCTGCTGAGCCGGGCTCCCTGTGGGCAGGAAGCTGGGTCTGTTGCTGCCACTGGACAGTGCCACCGCCTCAGCAGCTGCCCATGCAGGGACTATCCCTGAAGTGGCCTGGAAGGGTGAGGGAGGGGTGGGATTCGCCCCAAATTCCCGCGAGGACTTTAGGGCCCCACATACAGACGGCGTAGTACCAGACGGCTAGAGGAGCAGCCTGACCTGGGACTGCGGCTTTCCTGGGCCCTGCCCCCGGGACAGCTGTGCCAGCCTCCCCTTCCCGACCTCTGTCACACTCTGTGTGTCTCCTTCGTCCCCCTCACTCCCCCCGGCTTCTCTAGAGGGTCAGGGCTGGGGTTCCCTAATGTCCTTCCTCTAAGTGGGGCCGGGAGCAGAGGGTTCCCCGACGTTGTTCCCCTGGGCAGGGCTGATGCTGCAGCATCCTGAGCCACAGTTGTCCAACCTGCCCAGGGCCGATGACTGGGGTCCATTGGAGAGCAGGAAGCAGGTTCTGGGGCTGGGGATGTGGCCAGGGAACTTCACCTGGCAAGCATGTGGCAATGTGTGTGTGTGTGTATGTGTGTGTGTTGCATTGTGTGTGTCTGCCCAATCATCTAACAGGTCACCCTGAGTAGTTCCAAGTTGGTACCGGAACACTTTAAATGACCAGTAGACACAGTTTCCTGTGAACAGAATCCCACTTTAATCCCAGTTATTTCTGAAGTTGCAGAGTGGATTTTTTAAAAACCTTTTCAGTCTTGACATTGCACTGGGAGGGGGTAGCATATTGCTTCTTCTCCCCACAAGTCTGACTTCAGACCGGACCATTTTAAACATGAGTCTTGGAGGATCAATTCAGCGTTTTCATTTTTGGCTGTTTTCTGTGAGCATTTGGAATGAGCATGAAAATGGTTTAGGATCTCATTTCTTTGCTTCAAATATCACACTCGAATCTGCTCAAGACTTCAGCATTAAGATGCAGATCATTGACATCAGGAGACAAAGTGGCAGGTCCGTGTGCCTCACAGGATGAGAGCGTCGGGTTTGACCATTTCTGTGCAGAGATGCTGACTGCAGTGTTTCTAGAGAGGCGATTGGGAATCCCCTAGGTCCCCATCAGGAGAGGAGGGATGATTGGTCATGAGCACAGAGGCTGGAGCAGGGGTGAGAGGCTGCAGACCAGAGCGAGCTGAGACACACAATCAGTCTGGAAAGGATTTTCGTGGGAAGAAAGGTTCCCACTGAGACATGTCTGTGTGGCTGTATTCCACAACACGAATAACGAAACTTCCGAAGCGAACACATGGTCTTATCAACCCAGAACATAGTCAGAAGTGTAAACACCAAACTAAGGCTGCTTTTGTGTATGCGGAGAAAAAAGATTGAATAATCATGTTTTCTTTACGTCGTTTGATTCATCTGGACTGTGACAGATGAATTTCCTCTTATATACAAATCTGATTTTATTTGGAAAATATTCGCATCCTTTGTCAACCATCTGGCGCTAAGCACATTCAACTTTAAGTAAATGCAAAAATGATTCAAACGGTGGTAAGTCTTAGTCCTGGTTTCCCCTCAATCAAAATAGGAAATAAAGTCCAGAGAAGCTGAGAGTTCTTTAAGACCACACAGCCATGATGAAGGAGAACTAGAACCCTTATAATCCTCAAATCAGTGCC